TCGTTAACCGATTTATCGATAGTTTCAACTTTGTTGTTATCTAGACGGGTGTGTTGGGTAAATTCAATCCATGGGTTCATTTTCGACCAGCGATAGATAATAGAGGAAGCAGAAATGTCTTATACTTACACCACCTTACTTACTTAAACCACCATTACACATTAAAATTCAATACATATACTTTCGGATATGTTTCGATTTTTAATGTGTAATGGTGGTGACAGAATATCACCAATTAGTCTCAATTAGCTCTTTATTTTGCAGGTGACTGTAGTGGAGGTTTAAAATTATTCACTACCCCATATCTTTCCGTGTTTGTCGTAAGTGGCGACAGAGATAAACAAATAAGGAGATGGGCAGAAGTGGCTTCCTGGTTACAGCTGCAAATAATAAAAACTACGGTTGCTAACCCACCTGCCAACGTGGCTATGAATGGGGGAGGGCTATGTTCAGCAGAGGATTCTTGATAGGCTGTAACGTTACCGGTATATTCGAATGGTTTATTAAAAAGGACAACAAAGGCTTTAGTATATAGGTTTTTTTTTATAGCCAGGCGTAATGCTTGGGTAAAATACACTGAACTGAAGAAAATTAACAACAACAATGATAGTCTAATCCCATGGCGTAAACGATAAGTCAAATACTTGAAATCCCGGTGAGGTCGGGGTTCAATTTCGGAATGGAAGCTAGTTTGCAGGTAACAAACACTACATAATGTTACAATAAAATAATGGTAGCGGATACTATCAATAACACACATTATTAAAACCCAGGAAAAGTCTACTGTCGAGCATAGGCCTCCTTCATACATTGCAGGAACGTGCGATCTTGAACCACCTGCATCTATTGATTATCGACAAGGCTGTCTCGACTAATACTTCGGTCGCTTGTACCAGGCTACCACTTCAGAAACTTACTTCTCCATTTGTTGTCGGTTCTCCGAACTACAAATTCGGCTCATTGCCACTTCAGCTTAATAATCCGTTGGGCTTTGTTAGTTATTCCCTAGAGCCTAAAGACAAATGTGTACGTACAGTGCGTGTTGCCAGTGATGTCTTACCTTCACTGCTGGCCGTATGAGGAAGTTCAAAGTCACTCAGCAATGGAAAGGGCTATGCTCGGAATTTCTCTGCGAGATAAATATGACGGATGACTCTTGATTATTTGCAAGCTAAAAATTATATACTACCCGCGCGGTTAAAAATGGGATTGAAAATGAAAATGTCGTCGCCTCTATTCACCTCTCGCTCGCACACTGTCTCTATCCATATCGCATCCGCCAATAAGTACTGCAAAAAAAAATACGTAATATGCGTTTTTGTACGTTCTTTAACTCTAGTCCAACTTGCCATTGAAATCAATGATAACAAAATGTCAAAAACTACAAAAAAATTCAGTTACTTTCGCCAATTTGTAAGCTACGATGCGTTCTGAAAGTTTTATTCATTATTATAGTTGATTTTGTTTGTTAATATTTTTGTATAAAATATTTACATGCTTTTGAAACATAAGTAACCATTTTTTAAATTTTTGTTTTTCGTCCGAGTTCGGAATGCCTAAATCAATTGTATTAAAACTTCACAAACATATAGGGAGTAGGTAATATGGTATCCTATGCCTTTAAACGAGCAATTCTTATATATAATCGGAATTTCGGAAACGGCTCCAACGATTTTCATAAAATTTTGTGTGCAGGGAGTTTCGGGGGCAATAAATCGATCTAGCTAGGATTTATTTTTAGAAAATGTCTTTTTTTCTGTGTTATAGGCAATGAAAAACTGCTACAATATCGTTAGAATAAGAAGGTAAATTTTGACAGTTTATTAATGATTACAAATAGCTTAATTGGTATATAGGGCGGTCACAAAATCGTAGTACCATGGTTCAAGCCCAGACCGACCGACCGACTTTTTTTTTAATTTTTTTTTCAAGTTCCTTTCTTTTTTTGAGAAAATCTATTTTTTTCGAGCCGTTTTTTTTAGTATTTTTTAAAAACCCGAAAATTTAAATTAAACTAATTGCACTCATGAATTTTTATTCAAATAACTAGTTCATTTTTTTCTATTATGTCGCTAAGATCAAAAAATATTATTCGTATTTCATCAGTATGTAATTTGTATCTAAATATAATTTCCAAAACACACGAATTAAAAAATAACCGAGCGAAAAATACCGAGCAAAGCTCGGTCAACCGGGTACTTGTATTGTATATATAGAATACTGGTATTGTATAATCTGTATTGTATATATAGAATACCAGGAATGATCTAAGCAGACTAAATTTTATCCGGAAAATTTTGTCTTTACTAAAATAGAAATATTGGTAAGATAAAATAAATAGTATTTTAATAATCTTAAGTGTAAAAAACTTCACATTGAGATCACCCAAGTGTACTGAGCAGTACGGTAGTTATGAATGTTATTTTAAAATTAATGTACCTAAAATAATTATTATTTTCAAATATTTTCCTATTAATAGAAATTTTCCAATTAACCGCACATAACACTCTGAAAAGTATTTAGTTCACAAATTGAATTCTTTGTTTATTTTTTTAAATTTACAAATACCTAATTTACTTATGCGTAGCATAACAGTCGCTTATGGTCGAATTGGATTGTCCGTTCCGTAACCAAGCGTCTGTATGTCGAGGTTAAAATGTTCGAATCAAGGCTTGTATCTCGATAAGGCAAATGCCGTGCGAGTCCTACATTTCTAATAATATCCTAACCTAAAACCGTTTACATTTACTGCTGTTGTAAGCATTCTCGTATAGGCAGGTATCCTGTTCAATTGAATTTGATATTGGAGTTTTGGCAATACCTGTTTTGAAAGTCGAACGAATACACATATCCTTTTTTTATTATCAGCTAATGCTTATGTGCTTTTGTGATACCATTTTACAACATCTCAACCAAGAATCATACAACTATTTTTAAGTAGCTATAAAACCCAATATGGTAAAGGCACTATCTTAGATATACTTAAAAAGCCTTTTTATTGCCTCGAATACTAGATGTATTCGATTGTAATCGGACGGAAATACAAATTATTCCACTAATTTCCTCTATGAATCACGAAGGACGAAGTAAACCGTCAGCAGTACAGTTATCACACTTCCGTGTGGACATAAAATAATTTATCACTCCATCTTACACCTGTCGGTGAAACCGTCGCATACATCAGATGCAAAGTACTGACTACGGGTGGACGGGGTGCATCGCTAAAAATGCAAGATATCTGGAACTGCGAATACCAATATGCAAACCACTAAGGTTGTGAATCTCAATTTTAAGTGCTAATTTACGCACTTCTGAAAATTTTAAAATACAAATGTTTCAAGAACATGTGAATTCCGTCAACACTCGTTGGAGCAGCTCAGGTTGGCGCCGCGGTCTCTTACCTCACCTAAATAACCTCTCAAAATTAGAGGAGGTCTGTGCTCACTACATTTAATCTATTTTTCATAAAATTTTTGCATGCCTTAAACGCAAAGCGCGTAGGTATGTTCTACTAGAGCCTAAAAATCAAGAATACAACGTTATTTTTGCACGAAATCGTATCTAACAATCATATTGAACATATAAAAGATATAAAAAGCACATTGTAAGAAAGATTAATGATTGTTGAACTTATTTTTTTTAAATCGATTAATTGCTATTTTTCATGAAAAAGTTTCATGAAAAAGTGGTGTTAGTGGCTTTTGGTGTAGATTTATCAAATCTGCATGGAGGGGTAAACACATAGAGAGTGGTTATATAGTCTTTGAGTAAACACGATAACTTTTGAAAATATCTCGACATCAGAAGAATTGAAATCCATTCAAACAACACACAAAAAATTTCATCACAATCGGTCGTGCCGTTTTTGAGTTATAGCGAGACTAACAGTAATTCTTTTATTACCATTGATTTATTATCACAATAAACGTCATTTTGTCGTGGCAACATAACCTACTTCAAGTGAAATCGAAGTAAATAGACATTAAAGGCGTTAATGACAACATTATGATAAAGTTGGTCGGGTTTGTGCCAGTCATGAAAATGGTATAGCTGGCTGTTGCTTTGATTTTTCGCACACTTTTCTCGATTTCACGATACAGGAGAAGTTCTTAGTTTTTCTAAAACATGTAAAAATTTGAAAGATATTTAACATTTTCATGAGATGCAACTCATAATGCTTTATAGCCAGTGTACATCCAAAAAAAAAAAAAACACATAATAATGAAATATATTTTCTTAAATATTTTTTTTACGTTCTTGGTAGAGTTTGGCTGCAGCTATATTTTGGTTGTGGCACGAATAGAGTCGAGTGGCCGGGGAAGGCCCACGCTGTCACAGAATACCAACCTAAAACAGCAGCTTAATGCTGTTGTGTTTCGTATTGCGAGTATAGAGAACCGAAAACCAAAAGGGTTTTTCTGTAAACGAGATATTCAGGGATGGCATGGCATCTTGCTTTTTGACTGATGCCTACAGGCATTTTGACTCTTAATCGAAGATAGATGTAGAATGTCCATGGAGCATAGCATCTACTTGCATAATGGACTGTGTTCCCCCTTATTCTATATATTAAAAAAAGATTTTTGTGTTGCCAGTAACTACTTATGTTTGAAACAAGTAATAAACTTAACTTTTCTTGTTTTTCCACTTTTCCTCTAAACGAATATAAATGTTTGGTAATTTGTATCAATCGATCACTCTTGGATATATCGCTAACAATTTAAAGAAATGGCCTTGTTTGTTCTCCGCTATCAATTATATTTTTATTACTTCTCTCCTTTTCCGATAAAGTGAATAACAGGTTTGTTTTTGGCAATAAACAATTAAAGACAAAAATATTAAGTGCAATGAAATAAAGGAGCCAGTGCGGTTGTGTCGAAACATTTATGGAATATTTGGCAGTGTTGGAATTGTGCTCTGATTAAATAGTGTTCATATAAAAGCGTTATCGGATTGGTTAAAACGATACGTTTACCAAAGTGGCGAAGTCCGAGTCTCGGTTGGTGCTCGTGGGTGAGGGTGAGGGTGATGGATGCTGTACGTGCACTGGAATGAGGATCGGTGATATTGGCGGAGCGCTGCTTGAAGCTGCCAAACTGACGAGGTTCTGGTTCTGCCAGAAGCCTGGATACGGGTGAGTGCTAGACGTTCATTGGTACCGATCGCAGACATGGCTGTTTTACTTTGTATTTTAGAAGTGATTTGAAATAGAATGATTTCTGAATAATTTCCTCAGACCAAATTTCGATCACGCTGTCCAGTCTCAACGAAGAATAGTTATCTACGCGGGACAGGATTATAGTGCACAATTGTGTGCTTAAACACAAGTAAATATCTTTATCCCTTTACTGTCATAGTCTGATCACGACGATGATACGGCAATCCGAATAGACCGAAGAAAATCAGGCGCAGGATCAACTGTAGATCAAGGCGTTTCGACGTGTAGATTATCAATATATCCTTCAAAAGCCCACTGATGAACGTTAACCTTTTCCAGAGTCTGACGAGAAGAATATTTGCAATTAAATGTGGAAAAAGTTTTATCTGCCAGTAAACTTCAAACATATCATGACTTGAACTTTAAAAATAATCATATATTCCGTAAAAGTAATTCATTTTGTAAATTTCTTAAGGTAATATTATATCTAGGTAGATAGTTTATTGCTATTCAATGTAATAATTTATTCAGTGTACAACAAGTTCAAAACTTTGTTATTATAAAAAATGTATTAGTTTTTTACTTTAAGTAAAGGATAAGTTGCACTGGCACTGTACTGAACTGTACAAAGCATTTGCATTGTTAATGCAAGCAATGTGGGGACAATGAAGGTGTAAATGTCTGTGCCGGAGTGAATGGTTTTTTCAATGAATTTGTTCAGTGTAGTGCAATGTAGGTACACTGTGCATTTCGTTTACCGGAGCTGAGTGGTTGAAAAGTACACCCGTTGTTGGTACAGAAGAACCGATAACCGATTGGGAATAAAGGTTCTCGAGTGGCAGCTTCGTACTGCCAGGCGAGGTGTAGGGCGTCCCCCCATCAGATGGCGACCTGGTACGACATGCAGGAAGTCGATGGATGCAGGTGACTCAGGACCGTGCTTTGTGGCATTCGTTGGGGGAGGCGTATGTTCAGCAGTGGACTTGTGAAGGGCTGTAATGATGATGATTATGATGATGATGATGTTGGTACAGTGTGGGTGCATTATAAGTGCAATGTGGTTGTTGTATAGGTACACCCGCTGTAGGCATAGTTTGGGTACAATTTGAGTGCATTGTAGGTGCATTGTTTATACCGGAACAGAGTGGTTGGGTAGTAACACTCGGTTTGGGGGGTGGGGGTTTGTTTCGTACACAGTGTTTTAGTTTGTACAGTGCAATGTGAGTGCGACGTAGGTGCACAGTCGATGCATTGTTTGTTCCTGAGAAGAGTGGTTGGGTAGTACGCCCGCTGTCTGTATAGTATGGGTGCAATTTGAGTGCAATGTATGTGCATTGTTTATACCGGAGAAAAGTGGTTGGGTAGAAACTAGAAACGCCCGGTTTTCGTATAGTGTGGGTGCAATGTGAGTGCAACGTAGGTGCACAGTCCATGCATTGTTTGTTCCTGAGCAAAGTAGTTGGTTAGTATGCCCGTTGTCAGTACAATGTGGGGACAATTTGAGTGCAATATAATTGCACAGTCGGTGCATCGTTTATACCTGAAAAGCATGGTTGGGTAGTACACCCGCTGTCGGTATAGTATGGGTGCAAAGTAACTTTAATTTTAGAGCAATGAAGGTGCTCAGTCGGTGCAATAATATGATGGCCATGTATGCAGGTGAACAGTCGCTTGTCTATGACGGAATAGTGATTGGGTAGTAAGCCAGTACAGTATAGGTGCAATGTAGGCTCAATCGGCGCACAATAGGTCCATTGATAATGGATCTATTGTGCGCACGGTGCAATTTTAATGCAATGTCCATGCACTCCTTTTACAATCGGTGACTCAGCGTTAGCAGTCTGTACAGTGCTGTTGCAATGTAAGGCAATGACGGTGATGAGACTGCACACGCATTCCTCTAAATGAAGGTCATTTAAGATGGTACTCCTTAACTCTTCAAGCCGTGGTACAAACGTCGATAGTGGTCTGAAAACGTCCATTGCCGTACAGGTGCATCTCGCGTTGTTAGCAAGGATTTGGCTTAATAAATAAATAAAATAAAATTAATAATTTGTTTCAGACAAAAAATTCCATAAAAGCAAGGGAAGGTTGTTAGTAGCATTTTGCTTACAACTAATGTTGGTAATTAATTAACGATAGTAATTAAAGTTTAAATTACGCTTGGGGGCGGATTCACGATCGCAATGCCAGATATCTCGGATCTCCGACGCTGCTGTCTGTAGCTGATCTGAATATCATACATCTTACGTAAATATAACGTAAGTAGTATTAGTAAAAAATAACCGCCATCTATCGGAATCTACAGTCTATTAGTCGCATCTTACTTATCTTGTGGTGATAAATTCTCATTTATGTTAAATATTGCGGAAAGTTAGAAAAATCTTTTGCGCAGTAATATTTAACTCGTAGTAAATTAAAACTTGCTACGGTTAGAAAGTGGCCTTACCCTCGTCACTCGTTAACCTAGTTTGTAATTAAACTTTACGCTAAGCGTTTCTAAGGAATAACTTTAAATATGAAAATTAAAAAAATTATAACATATATTCAAATTGTCTACATTGCATATTATGTTTACTGTATGTAATGATCACCTCATGAGTACGTAAGAGGTGTGCCTGGAAAATGCCGGAAAGACCTAGAGGCTTCTGATATATGTGCCAGCATCATGTTTATAGCAGCGTCAAAGGTGCGGGACGTTTGGTACGCGAACTCTTACCGACTACTGGACTTATAGGCTATAAAAGCGTGTGAAGCTGGCAAATCCTTCCTACAACGGCTCTCCTGTTATCCACGCACCGCTGTAAACTTCATCCGACAGATGAGTAAGAAGAATGACTTTTTTTTGCGCCCGAAGCAATTAAAGGGCTACCCTATACGTAGGGAGGCGGAAAATGCATTACGCATACCACGATAGCCGGTCTATCGTGGTTATGAGGGACTCACTGTCCTACCAGGGACCCTAAGTGATACCCTCTAAAAACCGCCTTTGGGAACAAGCAGCCGGCTGATTAAGCTTTATTGTGCCTTATCGTGAGCGACCCTCTTTTGGGAAAAGAGGGCGCAGGCGGCTACGAGCCGCTGAGGGCGTGCCTACGAAGGCAAATTAATATTAGTTAATATAATAATTTAATTTAATTAGAGTTGGCCTGAGCCGCCAGGAGGCAGTTCAGGTCGTTTGTTAGTTTATTAGGCGGGTCCGAGAGAGAGTTTCTCGGCCTGCGGACTCGATAGCGAGAGGGGGGGTGGGGCTGCATAAGTAGCTGCCTCACGAATTAAATGATTTGAGTGCGACTCTGAGGCTTTGAAGAAGTTCTCAGAGAGTTTTTGGAGAAATTGTTGGATTGTGGGGAGCTCTAGGTCCCAATGAAGGTCAGCATTACGGACGTACCAACGTGCGTTCGCAGCTCGAAGACAGAAAAGGTTTTGAACTATTTGGAGTTCATTAATAATTTTAGGGTTGGCGTGGGCAAAAACGGGCCCCGCGTATGACATGACTGGTCGTATACAGACCTTATAAAGGGTACGCTTGTTTCTAAGGGACATTTTACTGTGTCGGCCCAACATACTGTTGAGCCTACTCAGATAGAACCGTGCGTGACGGGTTACTCTTTTGACGTGGGGCCTGAAAGTGAGCCCTGTGTCTAGAGTGACACCTAAATATTTGGCGGTCGTATGCCAGGGGACTGGGGTCCCTAGCATACTTATTGGTGGAGTGTTTTTGAGACGGCGTCGTTTATAATCGAAGTGAACGGCGGAGCTCTTCTCCGGGTTCACATCCATGCGCCATTTTTTGAACCAAGCTCCTAGGACATCAACTGACTTTTGGATCTTGTTCCGTATGAAGGGTAGTGAGATACCTTTGCAGTAGATAGCAGTATCGTCTGCGAAGAGGGAGAGCTGAACACCTTTCGACGGGATGGGAATGTCGTTGGTGAACAGGATGTACAGCAGAGGAGCAAGTACAGAGCCCTGAGGGACACCAGCCTTGATAGTTCGCTGTGAAGATAGCGTGCCTTCGTGTCTAAAACGAAAGGTACGATGCTTTAAGTAGGAGGCCACGAGACATACTAGACGATCGGGGAGACCTATTTTGTAGAGCTTGTAGATAAGGCCTGTATGCCAGACTCTATCGAAAGCTTTAGCTATGTCGAAAAAGACCGCGATGGTCTTATGACGACGAGGATAGAAACCGCTGAGGATATATTCCACAATACGGTGAACTTGTTGGGGACATGAGTGTTGGGCTCGGAAGCCGAATTGATGGGGAATGATAAGAGGGTCACTGTCTGTGGGAAACAGATAGCGCCTCATACGTGTTTGGATGACTCTTTCGAAGAGCTTGCCCATTGCCTTGAGGAGGCTAATGGGGCGATGACTGGAGGGGAGGTTGAGAGGCTTGCCTGGCTTGGGAATTCCAATCACAGTTGCCTCTTTCCACGTAGTGGGAAAGTAACTAAGGTTGAAGCAGGCGTTGAAGATAATAGATAAAAAGGTTAACACCTGCTCAGGAAAAGGAAGAATGACCTACAAGTTTTTACCTTTATACCTGTCCAATGCATGTCATTCGACCGATTTTTTATATAATAGTATACTAGTGTTGCGCGCCACAATTAATGCCCGGTACATGGCGACACTAGTTACCACTAGCGCCTTCTAGTATCGAGTAGCAGAACTAGGAGAGTCAAGATCCTTCTAGAAATTTCCATACTAGAAATTTCTAGAACTATAGACACCTAGTCAGTAGAGACCGGTATGTACTCGAACATTATAGATGTATCTACAGTAGAGGGTTCCGCAACTATCTGATTCCCTATATAAGGCCGGTATAGATCGCGAACCGGGTCAGTATTGAATTGACAATTCAAGCGAATACTTCGAAGTGATACAACTGTGAATTAAAGTGATCAGTTATTGTGTTTTGTTATTGGTGTGGTTTTAAGTTGTAGTTAGTGTTCTGTAATTAAAGAGTCAAT